CACTTCACAATGTTTCTACACTTAAACTGAGCTCAAAAAAAAAAGAACACACTTAATCATGGCAAACATAAGGAGCAGTGTGTGTTTTACGCCAGTTTCTGTGATTTTATTTGGATTGCTTGATCTGACATCATACAAACACACAGAACGAGAGATGTCAGTTTTTGATTAAGCATCAAAGAGAGCCTCCACACTCAGCCGTCCAGTTGGATCAACTTACATGCACCTCAAACCTTCGCTAATTACCTGTCACTCAGTATTTAAAGACACCTTTTTTAGGCCACTCGATTTCTTGATTAATTTTGCCTGCTTCTTATTACACACGTTAACACTCACTGTATTTCACTTTCTTTCATCAATTGATTTGTCTGAACTTTACTGAATATGATCAGCAAGCTCAGCATAAATTTATTTGTTTCCTAACTCTTTCTTATCCAAACTGAAATCTTTTTAATTAAAAATAGGAATATTTTGGAAACCATTCAACGTTCCTTGGTACATTTTCATTCAATCCTAAATATTGCACATATAACAACTGGAAAATTCTGAAGATTAACGAGATTTTTTAACATAAAAGTTTTAAGACTTCAGTGTCACGCAAAAAATAAAAAGAAGCAAAACACTAACTAAAAGAAGAAAAATGCTAGCTAAAAAGAACAAACCACAAGTTAAAGGATGAATGTAGCAAAACACTAGCTAAACGTTTAAAGTAGCAAACTCTAGCTTAAAGCTAAAAGCATTAAGCCACACATACATAGCTACAAGTAGCAACATTGAACTAAAAGTTCAAAAGTAGCAAAACACTACTTAAGGTAAAACTAGCCAGGTGCTACGTAAAAGCTACAAGCAACAGAATTCTCGCTCAAACTTAAAATGTAGCAAAATGTAATAAATAAATAAATATAAGCTCAAAGTAGCAAAACTAGCCAAAAAATAAAAGCAACAAAATGCTATCTAAATGTTAAAAGCACCAAAAAGACTAACAAAATGTAACAAATGTCTAAAATGTACGCATAGTAAAATGTTATCTTAAAGTTTAAAGTAGCAAAGTGCTAGCTAAAAACTAAAAGTAGCAAAACACTCAGTAAAAGTAGCAAACTGATAACTAAAAGTTGTAAAACATTAGGTAAAAGTAGCAAAAATATTAGGTCAAACGTTCTAATAGCAGCTAAAGGCTAGCAATAAATAAAAGCAGCACAAGAAGACAAAAATACCAATTATGCTGAAGTAGTTCCCGCCCCCCCCCCCAAAAAAAATTCTTTTTTAAGTAATTATACATCTCAATTTATTTCTGTTTGTACATTAAGTTAAATATTTTGAAAAGAAATAAAAGGTACAAAACCCCCAAAACTCTTCTTGAATAAACTGAACATTTTGGCATTGGAATAATAAAAAAAGCACAAATTATGCAGAAGTACTTCCTGTACATGTCAATAAAAGGAAGAAATTACGAAGGATAAAGAGAAACAGGATCACGATAGTGTGAATATTGAACCAATAATGACACAATTTGTTGCAAAATGTCTAAATGACATACAACACTACCAAAAGCCTCCATTGTCAGGAAGTACTCAACATTCATAGCTGGTAGTTAATCACAATCAAACTTCATCTTTTCAAAAGTAAGGCCAAATGAGAGTCAAATCAAATCAATGTTGGGGAGATTAATAGTCAAAATTGAACCTTACCCTGTTCTGCAATCTGAAATACCAAAATGGAGACCGATGTAGGCAGTAACCAAAAAAAGCATACAATAAAATAGATCAACCCTTTCATCATTTTTGAAATATTATTCATTTTTTAGAAAAGCTTGGTATTTAGTCATTACAATTCCTAATATGTTGTCAATCAGCAGCAGATTACAACCACATTGGTCATTTTAAATACTCTAGTTAAAAACATTAACGATCATATTTGATACTAGTGTTGTCATCAGAATTGCACTGGTGCATCTCTAGACCCACTTTACTTCCAGTGATAACTTAATCATGTCCTTAGAAACACTGAGCACCAACCAGTTATTTCTTCCTTCCAACTCCCTCCACAGTGAGAGATAATTGTTGAATTATTCGTATTACTTTTCTCAACTGGCTCTTTTTCTGATTCGCATTACATCTTATTTATGTGATCACACGGTGGAATAAAAGTACAAGTTTGGAATTGTTAGAGCAATTTTGGTAATGGATTTCATTGTTTTTATGGGCTACTTTCAACTTATTTCCAAGAGAGCCGCTCATTATACAGAATAATTGCTTTCACAAAGGATCAGACTTGGCCATTTACAAGAAAGCCCTTTTCTCAAGATTACGCACAGGTCTCTGAGGATTCAAGTGATGCTGACAGCAACAAGAGCGGGAAGATGAAAAAAAAAAAAAAAAAATCTGGGAGAGAGGCAAAGGAAGAGAGGTGGGGAAAGAGGTGGGAATCAGTGCCCAAATCTCTGAACGAAATCAAAGCTCCATACAAAAGTCCCCTGATTAGCATTGTGGAATTAATCTCCCCCAGCTCTTCTGCTATAATGGGATCCTCAGACCTGAATGCTGTTTTTCCCTCATTGAATATTGGGCTGTCTGCCTATTTGCTATAAAAGTTGTAATCACAGTTATGGGATAATAAAACTGCCATCTTTTGTTAAATCTATGCCAGGGCTCCTTATTGTTAAGCAATCATAGCTGGCTTGAATGTGTGTAAGTTATGAGCTGGTGTGATCTCTTTGGTGTTTACCTACCGCTTTGGTGCACTGTACATCCTTTCCCAGCAGCCAATGCAGTTCCAAGTTTCCCTCTCCTTGGTAGCAAGACTGCAGTCGCTCCTTAATGCGCATGTTGATGTCTTGGATCGTAAAGATGCACAGAGCAGAGTGATCAGAAGGGTTGTGGTATTGCTTTTGCCCTTTGGAGAACACAGCAAGCAGCACATCTTCCTGAGCACTGATATTGAGAGACTTAGCCAGCACCCTGCTGGCTTTGGACAGCTGAGCTGCCTGCAGCAGACGGTACTCCTCACCTTTGTGTATGCACCCCATAGGAAGTGAGACATATGAGTGAAACTTCTTGTCACCTTTGCAGAGGCGGATGATGCGAGAAGTGTAAAAATGGTCACCAGGAGAGCCACCTGCAGGCATCCCATTCTCCGGAGTTTCTGGCTGGACAGTCATAAAGTAGACAAAGCTTCCACTGGAGAAGCCATAGATGTAATAAATGTCAAAGTGTGGAACAAGAGCCAGTGTGTCTGAAGGGATTTTGATTAGAGATGAAACAAAATCAGTGTGAAGCTCATAGTCCAGCATGGCAGAGGATTCTGGATCTCGTGGGAGTTTACGGCTGGAGATAGTTGGGAAGTAATCCTGTTTGCCACCGACAGCTGTGCCGATGTACAGAGTGGCATCCTGACCCTGGGAAGGAACAACAACCCCGTACATCGTCCCCGTCTGGTTGTCACTGGACAGATAGTGCTCTTTCTTGTGTGTGGGTTCAACTAGGATGAACAAGTCATCAAGCCTCATCAGTTTACAGATGCCCTGATAAAGGCTGCCACAGGCCAACAGACGATTGTGAGAGTAGTCGATTAGTAAGAGTTTGTTCACATTGTCTGTTGAGGCCAAAGACTCCGAACAAGGCTGGACGATCAGTGGAGGGTAACACGCTTTGTTGTCGTACTCTGGCCCTGTATCATGAGACACCAGGAGTGTGAGATTAGCTGACAACTTGTAGATTCGGTTGACGGCTCCAACATACAAAGCCCCGGTGGACTTATGCACTGTCAGATGGTTCAACGACCATTCCCTCCTCTCTGATTGGAAGGTGTTCATCTTCTGTCCTAAAGTTGTCTTTTGATTCACAGAGATTAGAGTCAATAGCCACAGGTTCAAGGGCCATGACATGACCTTTAGAGGGTGGTGACCTTTACTGGGGCTGCAGTGAGACCATCCTTTATCTGAGCATGCCTCCATCCCAACAGGACTCCAAAGAACACCAGGCTCAGACAAATGGGATAGTGTGCAATCAAAGATGAGCTCTCAGGCTGGAAAAATGCACTGAAACGTGGTCTTGTTGTCTTTAACTTGATCTTCGTATCATTCTGAAAAAGAGAAAAAACAGACAGTGTTAAATTTAAAAACATTTTTGATTCATTCAAGTGTAGACAGATGTTTCCAAGATATCATTAGACACTTATCTGAAGACGGAGAATTCCGTTTATTTTCTACTAATTTCTGCTTTGTGAGGCACAAGAAAAATGAAAGAAACAAGTAATCGTGTGTTCTGTCTCCCTATATTGACTAAGCAAAGAGATAGGCCAATGTTCTCTTTGTCAATATGAGGGCTCATTATATTTGATACTTCATAGAAAACTATCTGGTTTCCACTTGAACAAAGCACCAACACAATGTGGCTGAGCATTCCTTCTTTTTGGGGGGCTAATTGAATGATCTAAAAGTATTAATTATGCATCCATATTTTAGCCCCCGTGTTTTCCCTTCTCCTCTCTGCCTTGTACGCTTAAATGGTTGAATCCAGGAGGAATTAATCACTCTTCACTGCAGCCAATTCCTAAATTAATCTTTTTTTTTTTTTCTAAGATGGCAGGGAGTCATTAAAGATTCAGAGCCTGGCAGCTTCAACTCTCACAGTGTCCTGGTTAATTTCATTAGCATAATTTATGTGGGGATTTCCACGAGACAAGCAATGACCAACAAACATGTGATGTGACTGAAAAATAAACGAGTTAACCAAATAAACCTATAATGGTTTGATTCATTTAACTGTTTTACTTATTAGTACTTTTTTAAAGACTGATTAAGGTACGAGAAAAGAAGGGGAACAAACTTTGTATCGCAAACACTGACAATAGCTAAAAAAAAGAAGCAATTATGCTTAAAGAAATAGCATTACTTCATCGATATTTATACAGATAAACCTGCCTGCCTGAAAACAGAAAGAAAATGCCCAACATTTCTTAAATGAGTGCATCTAACCTTTCTCCTTTTGTACCAGAGTTAAGACCATCTTATGACTGAAAAATAACTGAGTTTTAATATATATATGGTGTCAGGGATTTTTTTCCCTCGTAACACTTTTAAAGAATTCACACACAAGACAGAGTGTAAGAATTTTGAATGAGCCCTCTGCAGAGTGGGAGTTCGTGACCTGACCAAACGTCAAGGTGAAGTCCGCCGTTCGACGGGAGAGCTCGTGTTTTATTTTGAGACAGGAGGAGTGAGCAACAGGCAAAATCAACAGATACAGATTTTCTCCGACGCAGCGGAGCCACACGAAAGATTACTAAACAGACGGTTTGATTACAGAAATGGGACAGCCGGAGTAGCGAGGTCAGATCTGAATAACATCATAGTTGTTTAAAAACCCAAGGTCTTGGTCTCACTGCACATGCACATGAAACTGAGAACAAGACTCTGGCTGTTCTTTAGTTCACACGACTGGAGTTTAATTAAATAGTGAGAAGTATAAAAACAGTTTTAAATGATAACATTTTAATTTTATCCAACATATGGTACATATGAGACTGAGTTATAGCCGTTGTTTGGAGTTGGCTAATTTGTTGTGGTGGCCATTTCTAATTGGGATGATTCCACAAGGTAATCTGTTGTAGATGTACACAATAACATTTGTCCAAAAGATTCAAAATCCATCTAATGATTCATGACATATTTTGCTGACAAACAGGGTCACACTCTTACAGTTAATGCCAAAGTTTTCTGCAAATATTTTGGTACCACTTTACAATAAGTCTCCCCTTATAGATGGCTAATAAATAGTTTATAGATATGTTGTTAATTCCTCTATAAACACTTTATAAATCATTAATAACTGCTTATTATGCATTACTTAAGGGTGACAGAGACAAAACTGGCCAGTTTCTTGCCAAATAGTGAGCCAAATCTGTTCCCCTATACATTTCATCTAGAGTTGTCATATTAAACATTTCAGACTAAGTTACTACCTTGTAAGCATAATAAGCATTTGTACACCTATTTTTTAGGATATAATATTAGTTGTAGATACTTATAAAGCAGTGATAAAGTACAATATTATATGCTAAAAAATAGGTTTACACATGCTTTTTGTGTTTACAAGGAAGTAACTTAGTCTGAAATGTTCAGCAACTCTACATGAAATATATAGGTGAACAGATTTGGCTCACTATTTGGCAAGAAACTGGTCAGATTTGTCTCTCTGTCACACTTAATTAATGCATAATAAGCAGTTATTAATGATTTATAAAGTTTTTATAGAGGAATTAATAACACATCTGTAAACTATTTATTAGCCATCTATAAGGGGAGCCTTATTGTAAAATGGCACCATATTTTCTCTTTATGAGTATCTTTTGGCCTATGATTTTTGAATGACTTTAAGCTACAACCAAAACAAATTTTAGCACAGTAATTATAAAATTGACTCAAATATAGCCATTTATTTTCTGTTATCTAAGGTCAGTTAACTGTGGCAGCCATCTTGTATTGGCTTCATAATCAGTTGAAGCGCTACAACCATGGATTCATTTCTGTAAATTTCATTAAAACTCAAACTGTGGTTCAGGACAACACACATGGCAAAAACATCTTGTTCCTTCAGTAATAAGTGATAATAAAACTCACATGAAGCTTTTCTTAACGAGTTTGTGGGTTTTCTGCCTCCTCTTATTTGTCTCTATTACCAAACCAGAAGCAGCTTCACACTTCTTCCCACTCTGTCCTCTTCACATTAAATCTGATAAATTTTCTGCCAAACGTTAGAAGACTTCACCTCAAACCCAAATGTCCTTCTTGGCTGGCGTGGACAAAAACGGGAGGCTGTCTCAGTGAGACTAGATGGTATAGGTAAAGGTTAAATGAAGACAGCCGTGTCAGTCCCTAATACGAGGGTGGTGATGCAGAGGGTGCTCTCCATTAGCTGACTAACAGGACATCCCGCAGAGTTGAGCGGGAGTCAGGAAAGGAGCGGATGAACTGACCCTAAGCTCCACTCTGGCATCTTCAGTCCATCTGTCCCCACCTCGCTCACACAGAGGGGACGAGTCACTCAAGTGTCTCAACCTTCTCTGCTGCATTTGGCAGAGTTAGTAAGAGTACCTGTACCCATGATAGCCCAATAAAATTATATTATCCGTTAGCCTAACATTCTTTTTGTAGCTCAAAATCCATTTTTGATTCTGAATGAACCACAAAAATTGGATTTGCTTTGATTAGTTCACTGAGTTTTAGAGGAACAATTTAAATTCAGTAATTATTTTGTATCTGCTTTGTCCAGAACATTCCCAGCACATGGTCCTTCAAATAATCAGCTTTGAAAGGTGATGAGTCCCTGAACCTAGTTACATTTTTAATTTAAAAATGTAATAGGTAGATTTTTTTTTCAAACAAACTCATGATGTTTTTTGTAATTCAATGGCACCTTGTAAAGGTGATATGTGAAATATTTTCACATGCTGGGTTTTATTCAAACAAAACGTCCAAAACTGATGGTCAGCTTCATTCTGGAAAACATTTATAATAATCGTCCTTCTTTTGAAAAGTAATGTAATGCATTAAAACTGTCCATCAGATGGCAGTCTGTGAGCCAAATCGATTACACAGGGGGCCAAATCTGGGTGGGGGAGATGAGAGGTGTGTGCAGGTAGAGGTGAAGGTGTGGGTTAGAAGGTATGGTGGCACCATCCACAGATGGAAAACAATGTGAAAAGAGCAAAAGAAACTGTCATGGTAATTAGAAATATTTTGCATTTCTTTTTATAAATCAACCTCAAAAACATAAAAATTAATAATAAAGTCAGATTTAGTTAATTGTGCAATGTTTTAATTTAACATTGAGGGTTGAAATGAGCCCTCCTGGGATTTTAATTCAGGTGGCTTTATTATAATGAACCCACATTCAGAGCTTAAGACAGTTTTGTTCATTTTAGGTTTTGTTTTGTTAATTATAGCATCTAATTTTTTCCTGTTAAGCTAAATTTATCTTTAGCATCCATTTTTGTATATTTTAGCTACTGGTTTGTTGCTTTTAGCTTGTGTTTTATGGGTTTTTGCTTGTATTCTGCTCATTTTAGCTTGTACTTTCTTTGTTTTACCTCCAAAAATAACAACAACAACAAGTTTATGTTCTACATTATATAAATCGACTCACCCCTGAGCTTATTTTGTTGGCGACCCCTGCACCAAAGAGTAGTTTCAGGTCAGATTAATCCAGATTAGATCCTTAAAATCTGACTGAACATTTCGCTGCAGGAAAATAAAACAGCAGAAGTGTGGGTTTGTGTTTTCTCACTCTGCTTTTGTGTTTCAATGCTTAAGTCAAACATCAAAGTTCTCAGGTAATGACCTTTCCTAATGTTTGCATTCTGCACTTGTGCAAGCCAAGAACACTTTCCGTTTTTTGGCCAGAAAGGGGGAAAAAATCAAACTGCACTCTTGAGATCTAACAGTAAATAGCAAACTGAATGATATTTGCAGAGCTGGGTTTGAGTCTAACGTGACCTTAAACAACAGGCACGAGCAGTGTGCCAGCCACAGGTTAGTTTAGTGAGAATCTACCTCTCAGATCCTCAGAGATGTTACAAAACATGGGGAGAAAACTGGTGCAGAAGTGGACAGGCATACAGGCAAGCAGCAGCCTCATCATTTCATCCATTTCTGCTCTGCCGGCTTGGGTCACGTCTGAGGTGTGCAGTCATGCTGCTTAGTGTTTACCCTGGATTATGGAGACAGCTCTTCGCCCTGCACAGTCCTCCCCGCTGAATTCTCCGCCTCACCACTCTCAGACATGCTCCAGCCCAGACGTGACTCATTCACACACACAGGGACACTGCTGCCCCGGGTCTCTGGGGACTACAAGCTCTCAGTGGGCACCAAGCACAAAGCGCAGCAGGGAGAAGCCGTCCTCTTGTTCACCGTAAACATAACCCTATGACCTGGATCAAAATCAGTGAAGCCAAATCTGTCACTTAGATCAGCTTTTATGGTGCTTAAATGCTGTCACAGATTCTGTAGCTCCATGCTTCACATGGAGGAGAGGGGCTGGATGCTTATTTTTTTGTATACGTTGACACATCTGCCACCAGAC